AAACAATTTATTACGTTTGTCGCTCAGTTATGAAAACAGTCATCATGAACAATTTTAGATACAGCGAGTGAATAAAGTAAAAATGAGAAATGAAAGAATACCAATCAATGAATCAGTTAATAGGTGAATTAATACAAGCCAGCGATAAATATCAGTGAATTTCTTTGTGGACTAATCATTAAAGGACATTCTAGTGCAGTGTTTCCCAAACTTATGACTTTTGTGTACCCTTTCTAAATTTTTCGTAACGCTGTGTACCACTAATAAACAAATGTATTTTTCACAAAAAAAAAGAAAAATTGCACAAAAGTTAAAAATCACAACTGGCCGTTGACACCACTAATTATTAACTGTTAACTTTGCAAAAAATAACCAATAGAAAAATACGTAATCGTAAATTTTCATGGATAGCTCTGTTTCAGAATAAAAATTTTTTAAATTTTCGCTTATTGCAAGATATTTCACATAAGAACGCGTACCCCCGCTAAACTGATCCAGTACCACTGGGGGTACGCGTACCACACTTTGGGAAACACTGTTCTGGTGAATAGTCGGATTGAATAAATGAGTTTTTAAATGTATAAATATATTTATAATTCTATGAATTGTTTTACAGCAATCGACAACAAAATTTTTCATTTTTAAAATAAATTTTAACAAAATAACGACACATTGAATGCAAATTGCAACAATAATGTGTATCGAAAATCGCAAAAACAACTGGTTTTGAAGAGTCAGTAAAATCGTTAGCGACTGCTAAAACACAAAAAAAAAAAACACAAAAAAAAAAAAGAAAGTAGATTTTAATATTTATGCCTATAAATTGGAAGGTAATGAACGATAATGCTCATTTATAAATATTACCGATATTAAATATTAATTCTAGAATACTTGAGGTGATATTATCATTAGTTAAACTAACAGTTTTCTTTTTTAACCTTGAATACATTCATTGAAATTTATCTTGTTCGCATGTTTCCCAAATCAATAATTAAATTGATATAGATTTCATAATTCTCTGATAGAAACAATGTATATTAAAATAAAAATAAAAAAGCATTTCTCTACAGCGTTATGATTACACTAGCTAGACAATTCAAGGATTTGAAAAAAAAAAAAAAAATCCTATAGTCCGAAATTGAGCTGTTTTCAGTATCGCCCGGGGCGTGTTAACGTCTTCCGCTGGCACTGATGATGTATTCAATGATATCATACTCAATTCTTAATCTTACCTCTCATCCCCCACTGGACAATAAGAAAATCTGCAACAGACAGGCCCCTCTTCCCAACTGGGCACGTGCCCAGGGCCCCGCGATCGAATGGGGCCCCCTAGTTCCTGCCAGATTACCAAATGATAACCGATACATTATTACCGAAAAACATTAATTTTGAAAAATCTGATGATAATNTGGTATCTTGATGAGGCATATCGGAGGATCTCATAGCGCTGATTGTCATCACTTCCACAGCAGATCTGGCATCTTCGATTGCATGCAGGAATCGTTTTTACGTCGTTTTAGACTGTGCAATATCGTTAGCTTTTGTCAAAATTAAACAAATAAATCCTTTTTCTGTCAGCAAATGTGTAGTACCTTTTGCAGTTCTTTTTTTAGTGTGACATGACGTTTTTCGAACTTTTCACCTTCAACTTAACGTTCTCTGTTCATTCTCTTGACGGCTTTTATATCACTCCTCTGAATTTGTCAAAAATTTTTTAGAACATCCTGTATAATGCCAATGTTTTGAAGAAAAAGAAAACTTTGATTTTCAAAGTTTGTTGATGAAAGTAATTAGCAAAATGATGCTACTTCCATAAACTAATATTTGGATAATCCAATTACTTCGGATAATCGAGGTGTCATACGGAACTTGGAAAAATTATCTCATAAAATTCGTCCTTGAAAACATAATACTAAATTTAATCTTTCACCAAAAAGGTAATGAAATAAAATGAGTATATTGAAATATTTAAAAAAAAAAATATTTTTATGAACTCTACCAGTTTATTTAAATTCGATTCGATCGAAATCTCGATTGCCTACAATATGTTTAATTCAAGAATCAATTGTTTTACCAAGTACGGGTGAGAAGCATTTGATACGGGACTTTACAAATTCTGCAACAAATATAATTCTACGGATATATAATTCTACAAATATATAATTCTGCAACAATAAATTCAATAATAAATTCTACTTGACTTTGAAATGACAGAAAACGATTGAAATGTTAATTTTCATCAGACTATAGATATATGTCAGCAGGCCCGGCATCAGGGATACTAATATGAAATGTGATTGGGTAGAAAGTGGCTGGTAAAAAAATAAAAAATATATTGAATTATATAAAAACCTTTAACTGGAGTCAAGGATTTTATAATACAATGACATTATTTTGCTTATGGCATTTTTTGTTACTAAGTAGTTTGTTACTAAATTTAAAAAACTTTCTGAGGGGAACTAAAAGAAAGTTTAAAGATTTTTTATTGATTGCTGTTCGCAATATGAATAGAATATTTGTTTGTGGTGCTGGAAAACGAAAATTAGATCAGGAAAATAAGAAAAAATAAATAAATAAGTAAATAAAATTAACTTCCAAAAAATTTGCTTTTTCTTTTTTTGAAATGCAATCACGGAAATAACTCCGATTATTGAAATAATTGCTAGTAAAATTCCCCATAAATAATATCTCGTTATAGGTAAATTACTTTTTTAATATAAGTTATTATTACTGCAATAATTTAAAGCCGATTCAAATAGTTGTAACAAAATATATAAAAAGCAAATCATTCCCGCTACAGCCTCTGCGAGGGAATGCTTTGTCCCTGTGGGAATGCCCTATCCCACAACAATTGTTGTGGGACAGGGGAGTCATGGAGGATAAGGCTCCACAATCTCGTGATCAACGGCATGGTTGCGGCTGTGTGGTCAGCGTAACGCACAGGCCGCCTTTACTTCCCAGACATACTAGTACCAATCGATCTGTAGCTTGCTGGGATTCAAGCTGCAATTGGGGATCGAACTCCAATTCTTCAAAACAATATCTATTAATGAAAGTAATGATATAGTAAAAAAGAATTATTAAAACAAGTAAATCTGAGTCACAGTAATACGGAGACGTATCGAAAACAACGACAGTGGCTGTGAAGTAAAAGAAAACTTGTCTTTCGCATTTGGCTGAGAAAATGAAATCTTTGGCGTTCATAAGAATTTCAGAACATAAGGAATTTCAGAAATAAAAGCAGAATTTTATCCATTTTTAATAGAAAATATTAATAATCAGATAGAGGCAAATGAACCACCTCATGTTTGCCTAAAACAATGTTCGAATAACTTATACTATACTTCCGAATAACTGTATACAGTTTATGAGGAAGAAGGTATTAGATACCATAATTAATAAACTAAAGCAATTAAAACTTTTTTTTAGTTTAAAATTCTTCATCATATTTCTCTCATACAGACAAGTTATTCTATATATAGACCTAAGTTGAAACATTTAATGCAGTCGTTGAAAAACTGTATCATGTTTTATCATAAAGAGGTTGGTGGAAACGCAAAATCAGTTTGGTTCACTTTAATAATTTCATAATGCATGTTCAATTGTAGGGAAATTGGAAAATACATGTTTGAATATAACTTTGTTTATTCTAATGTATGTGTTACTATTAATGACAGAAATAGGTGGTTGTTGACTTCCTCCGGTGAATATTGACAATCACATTGTCGCTTTGGTAAATGTCCGAAATGTATACATTTACCCGGTATGCCCTACATCAATGTTTTTTTAAGGTTCAGTGCCACTGCTCAGTATACATTTGCCCGGTATGCCCAACATCGATGTTTTTTAAGATCAAGTGCTACTGCCCAGAATGTATTTAACCAGTACTCCGAACACTGATGTTTGTCTTAATATATCTTCAACAGATATTAAAATGTCGAATAAATATAATAATATCAACGAATAAATTAATATCAAATCGGATATAACAAATATATCAGACATTCACTAACGCGACTATGTGATTGTTGACATTCACCGGTGAAAGTCGACATTCTCTTGATTTCTGACATTCGCAATAACATATACAGCATTTTTCTTAAGGCATCTTGTGCTACCCATAACATACAATGAATTGGGAAAATCTTTTTTTTCAAAGTTAAATTAAGGACAATGAAAATTTCTCCACTGTTAAGGCATGATTTTTTTTTAATGAATAATTTTTCTCTGTAAAAGTTACTATTTTACTTACTTTAACAAATCGTACGCTTGTTTAAACTCCGACTATATTCATTTGATAAATCACCTTAATATTTATTTTTATTTTTTTTAAGCATTTTGTGCACGGAGGAATTAGCAAGCCCTTAACTGATTTTAAATTAAATTAATTAAATTTTGGTTAAATCTAGTAATGAATTTTTATGATAAATACAGCCCTTCATTACCCATTCCCTCCATTCCCCATGACACCTTAATCCAGCCCTGCTAGCTAGTCAAAAAGTAGTTGAAATATATATTCCAAAAGTCCAACTTAGCCTAGGTGGCTCTGGGGATAGAGCACTCGCCTCCCAATGAGGTGAACCGATTTCGAATCCCAGCAGCGCCGGAATAAGCTCAAGGCCATTAAAATTTTCGGGGCCCTTAGATTAAATTTATTTTCTCGTATATTTTTTATTTATTCAAATCTAAAGGTATTTATATATCTTTTCATTTAAGAAAGCAAATTTATAATAAAAATAAATAATAATTAATTAAATTTTGCTTTTTTTTGTTAAATTAGAACTAAAAAATTTATCGTATTTTATTAATGTATGTTTGAAATTGATTTTTTTAATCAAAGTTTTTCTTAATTTTTTTAAATTTATTTTCAAAAAAATTTTTTTAAGGGGGCTCCTAATCATTGAGGGCCCCAGGCCATGGCCTAGTCTGGCCTAATGATTAATCCCAGATCCCAGCGATGGCCTGAATCCCAGCGATGGCTGGTCGATGCGAATTCGAATTCGGTACCCGGCTTCCACCGAACACAATGTTGACGTAAATCTCTCCAGTGGTAGACGGATAACGGGTAGATATCCCTTGCCATCAAGTTAACCATGGGAAGTTTTCGTGGTTTTCCTCTCCATATAACGCAAAGTGGGTTGGTTCCATAAGAAAAGTAACGAACGTAAATTTCTCCCAATCCAGAAAATCTCTTGTCTCTGGGAAGGTTTCAAAATTACAAGATAACGGAGTTGAACATTGGCAGTAGTGGACTAGAAATTGGGTCGGTTGTTCAACAGCGGTTATAAAATAAAATAAAAAGTCCACCCTCGCGGACACGAAAATGGTAGGAACAAAAATAGAAAACGTTTAACAAGTATTCATTATTAAACGCATGGAGTAAGATCCAGATAGAAACTACTAACATCCGAAAAAGAAATATGTCAAATCTATGAGAATTTGAATAAATTTGGAATTTATATAATGATTTTACGCACGAGGGAAGAAAAGGAAGCCATTAAAGAGCAATTATCTATAAAGTCGTTGGGTAAAAAAATGGTCATAATGCTAAAAATCAACATAAAGGGCAGATCAACTGAGATAATGTCGCCAAGTTTTCAATTGAGCTCCCTTGAAGGAAAAGTGAAGAGAATGTTGACACTTTTTAAACCAAATTTAGAAGATTACAAATGATTAAGTTATGCTTCGTTGATTTGAGTGAAGGTTTAAGCGTTTTAAGAGTATAACTACAACCGGAAGAAGATCTTATGAGCTAGGTGGAGCTTTTCGAAGCTTTTGTCTTAATTTTTCGGAAATATAGTGATGGAAAGGAAGTATTTTTTCATTTCCGATGTCGTTTAGAGTATTTAATATGTGAAAGATCTTAAAATTACATCAGTTGACGTTTAGTTATTGTTGTGTTAGTTGCAAGTTCCCCAGGTATGTAACTTGAAACGAAGTTCTAGAAATATTTAATTTGCATTTTTTATAGTTATGACATATTTTGAGTTCTGTTTTTCAGAAAAAATTCTTTCTTACTTTTCATTAATTGATTTTCTCAAAAAAATTCAAAATTTTGAAAAGTAGAAAGTACGTTTAAATTTCAATAAAAATAATTGTGGCAATTAGTAATACCTTGTTAATGACATAATGGTCCTCCGATTTGATTTTCAGTCAATTTTTTTAATTCAATTTTGCTTCTGTTATTCTCTCTGATAAATATTGGGCAGATTTTTTCTAGGCGATTATATTGTTTGCCTCACCAAATATTGAAGTATTAAATTATATTAAACCCTCATACATGCATAAAAGAGGATAATATTCTTTGGTGAATATAGCCTTCATAGTTTTCCTCGAAATGATAATAGTATCTCCATGTAAAATTATCTGAAATTAAATGAAATTTTTTTAAAAAAATATAATAAAACTATTCATTATTTGAATATATGAATATTTTTTCAGTTTTCTGATGGAAGTTTGTGGAATTTAAAAATATATCAGCTGTTCCTTAACTAAATATTTTTTTCGATCGAAAACAAAATTATTCCATAGTGTCCTCATTTCATTCTATTCTATTCTAAGCAAATGAAATGTATTTCTGAATAAAATAATTTTTCTATCATTTCATAAATATATAGCATTCATAAATATATATAGCAAACCTTTAAAATAAAATAATGACTTTTCTCCGAATCCTTCTCAAAAATGACATTAGAAGGTCGCAAATTTATAATTAAGCAAGAAAATATAAAAATGTTATCGAAATCTAACGAATCATTTGTGAGAAAGGCTCGAATGAAAACAACAAAACCTGTTTTATTACAGGTGGAAACCGGAGTTTATAGGCGATTCTATACCTTCACGTTTATTTAGACAACAAATAATGTTTACAATTATTCCTTCCTCACTGATTCAAGAGATTTCTAAAGCGTTTTTTGTATTTTTTGTTTCTTCTCACTTAAAATTTTATTCGTGAATTTCAACTTTGAAAAGGATTCAAAGAACATATATCAAGGGGGGTGGTTACGAAACTCAATGAATATAAATTGTATCGCATAATACAAATAACAATTGGAATTATGTAACCACAATTGCAGGATATAAGGAGCGTAAACTATAATAAAGAAGCACGAAAAAAAGTGGGTAAAAAAATACAAACTTTCTTTACATATACGACTTTCTTAAAATTCGATTTCTCAGGAATTATTTAACCTATTTCGCTTAAATTTTGTCTTTTGCCATTGAAAATTACATACTTAATTATGTAAAAAATTATATACCTTGCAACTCATAACTTTTTCAACTAATATTAAATAAAATAATTAAAAATAATAAATATTTACTAAAATTTATTTTTTGCATTATCTTAGAATAAACGAATTTTACATTTGTGTACAAAAGTTTTTCAATTCACTTAAAAAGTGCTCAAGATATGGCGAAATACGCTAAGAGTAAAATTAACATTAAGGGGTCTAAACTGTGGATCGCACTCCTGGTCAAACTATGAAGACCATATTTCCCAGATTGCAACTACCCCCTATATATTGGGAGTCAGAAATCCGAATCATTGAAAAAAAAGGGCATGTTTATTCAGTGAAAGTATGTTTTGGGGTCTGATTTCGTAACTTGAATTATCGTCTGCTCTAATTAATTAGCATATTTGGGGTCATTATTCCAAACCATTAAGATAAGTCCCAGAACCTGAAGATCCACTCATTAGGTTAAAAATTATTCAGGGTAGTCAATTTTATTTATTTTTTTGGTGCACTGTACAATTGCGTCCTGGATACATTCTTCACAGATTGCTCGAATTTTTAGATGAAATTTAATATTTTATAACAGGAAAATAATAAGAATTTCCTGAACTCCATCAGTCTCAATTAACTGCACGACGACTTTACATAACTGTCTAATGAAGTAACTAAAGAATTGTAAAGAGAAGGGCAAATTGAAAATAGATTGTTTTAGATCCAAAAGATCTTCAGAAAGCAAAATTTACGAATCCTTCTAAGATTGAAACAGTCAAAATTTGAATATAAGCTTTCGATTAACCCCTTTATGGTCGCATTATTTTGTCATCAAAGTTCTTATTTTGTTTTCTTTTATTCAAGACAATTAAGTATTCATTTTTAATTTTCGGTAAAATTTTCAACTTACATTACTTATAATGGTAAATTTTGACTATTATGAACTGGCCGCGAGTAATAACATCATACCAAATTATGATCAATATGTTAATCTCTATTCTGATAGGATGAATTAAAAGAAACGTGTTTTGCTTAATTTAATAACGCAAAGCCACCGGGAAGGGCAACAAATAATAATAATAATTGCCATTAATTGAAAAAGCTATTTTAAAAAAATGTATTTTCGATAGGTAAATTTAAAGGGAAGCTAGAAGCCTAATTTCAATAAGATTGCTTAGACAGAAAAATGAGTTTAAAATTTAAATCTGACATGCATGTAGCCCCTGATCTAAGTGACGTTTTCAAAAATAATGCGGCATTTAATGCGTATATAATGCCATGGAAAATTCCATTTCAACTACATTAGTAATTTAAAATATAGAAAAATTGGTTCAAATTATTAAGTTTCAAATGCTGACAATTTTTTTCTCTTTAAAATATCAAATTGCATACAAATTATGGTGGCTGCTATGGAGAGGGGAAGTGATTTTACCATAATTTGCTTAATCTTTAGGGAAAAAATTGTCACCATGTGAAGCTTCGTAAATTACTCTCGGTTTTTCTAAATTCATTTTTTTTTTTCGTTTACTTCTTTTAACTTTTACTCTTTATGATCCCTATTTTATAACTAATTTAGCTGATAGAGAATTCGCTATGAATAGCTTCTCAACGGTGTAGTCTTCTCTTAGCCTCTAGAAAACTTAAGCGTAGGTAATACTGAGCATTTTTTGCCCATACATCCCGAATCCCCTTTAATCCGGTTATTATTAATATTTTGTTTTCAATCAAAATTTTTTTTTTTTCATTTGTAAAGATAAAATATCCTTACTTATCAAAATTGAATATTATTGTACTTTTAAAAAGGTTTCCTTTTCATCAAAATTCTCTTTTCTAAACATCGAATTTAATTCAATGATACGAAAATTCAAAAAGTTAGTTTCAAAACACATTTTCACGTTAATTCTTAATGTACTTTATGTATTATTTTAGATTATTTAAAATGCAATAAAAAACAACTTAAGATTAAAAGCGCATTTAACCTAAAAATGTTATAAATATAATTTAAATCACATAAATCTGAATGATTAAAAAACTACATAATTTTTCACTCTTTCATTTCAAATGATGACGATTTATCAAAAAGATAATTCAATGCAACAATAACGGGAAAAAAAGCCTACACAAAGTAAATAAAACGTATGATAATTTTCATTGAATATTTTTTAAAAAGTTTGTGATATTTAAAGGATAAATGATGTTTGAACTGAAATATTCTCTTTTCATTTTAGATCTACAATGAATAACTTAATGAAAATCGTTTGGTTTTCCATTTTTATAATGCTATTATCGTCTGCCATCTTCGTGGAAGGACAACATTTCTCATCTGGAATTTTCGGAGGTGGATTTGGGAGTGGCGGAGGGCATAATAATAACCATGGGTTAGAAGCTTTGCTGGCAGTGGGACTTCTAGCAAAACTGCTTTCTCATCACCATCATGGGCATCATCACCATGGGCATCATCACCATGGGCATCATCATCATGGGTATCATCATCATGGACATCATCACGGTTTAGAACTGAGTTCAGAACAGATTCCATACATACTTGGGTATGAAGGAATAAATCATGGTTTAGAATTTTACTGATAATTTCTGTAGCTCATTTAATTTAATTCATTGTAATATATACTACACTCATTGTGATATAAGCCATTTAATGTAAATAAAGTTAAATCATTTTTAGTTTCAATAGTCCTCAGTTGTGTTTGTCAATTCAGTTAAAAAGAAAAAAAGATTAAAGAAAATATTTCTATGAAACCAAATGAAGAGTCAGGTTAACATTCATTTAATTTTTGCACTTTATTTTGTATTAATTTATCAAACTGACCACTTTTAATATTACATTAAGAATTTTTCTATAAAATGTATGGAAAAAAAATGTTCATAGGGAGTTATAAAAATAAATGGTTTTTAAGCAATGATCAATAACACTGTACAATACATCTGTATGTTTATTGTACAGTGTTATTCTCTCTCCTTTAAAAGAAACTATGATTCTGCATAAACAAAAAATATGTTCGATTTGATTCATATATCAAAATCAAAATGATACATCTAGAGCCGTTTTTGTAGCAGAAAAGTCGCCAAGTTTCTCGTGAATTCTCGGATATCTCGTTTCTTAATGTATCTTCTGGAAGGTTGATAAAGCTTTTGTCACCAGTACACCAAAATGGTCGTCAAGTCAACGATAGTTCTACTGTTAATTAGAAGCATTAATCCTTAGGTATTAAGTTATTGTGCGTTGTTAAAATATATAAAGTCGCCAAGCTAAAATGTGGCAGAATTTCGTTATTTTCAACCAAAAATAAACAAGAAATAAATTTTCATCAAAAGAACATTTATCACGATTTACAGCGTAATCATTGAGGTAGATGGTGTTAAAATCTTAAAAAACCAATTTATTTGTCTACTAAGACTGGAATGCATTTGCTTTTAAGGGTTTTCATATTAGGCATTCCCAGCCAGTTGCGGAAAATAGTTCCGCTTTAATAAAGGATGGAGGTAAATAAAGGACTCGTTAAAGGCGGCGTGATTTTATATTATTCAAACATGGCTTTAAAATACATTTAAGACTTACAGGGTGCGAAGCCAAATTATTCAGCAAAAAATAAGCACTTTTCAAGCACTCAAAAAATATTTTTAAGCACTTTAAAAAAATATCATAATTAGGCAGGGTTGGAAAACTTTAGACAATTGTCGGATTATCTTGTTTTTAGTCATCTCAAAAAAAAAATTTCATTGTTTTTGACAATTGTCAAAAATCATGAAATTTTGAATCATGTAAAACGAATGGCATTCTCATACACTACGGACTGACAATACGCCGAAATAGATTGGGGTTGAATTAATTGTGAAAACGTTGAATAGAACAATGTGAACTGTGTCTTTTTGCATAATTCGTAACGAAAATCAACATGGTGAAGGAAAAACCTCATTTTGAAAAAGGGAAAATTATGCACTTTTTAAAAACATTCAATGAAAAAAGCACCGTTAAGGGCTTTTAAAAAACAAAAATCGAAAATAAGCACCTTTAAGCACTTTTTAAAAACGCTAAGCACCCTGTCTTATGTTTACTCTGTACTCTTATTTCAGAGATAAGGCTTTTGTTGCAAAAAGTCGCCTAGTTTGCGATTGTCCCAATGTCAACAAGAACGCTTTTTTTTCTTTTTGAAAAAAAGAAAGAAAAGCGTAAGTTGCTATTGCGTGCTGTTAAAATATTTTAAGTCGCCTATCTTAAGTGTGGTCTTTTGGGAAAATGGTACGTGGTATACAAAAAATAATTAAATTCTTTATTACCAGCTACGCATTTTCATCTAAAGGGTAGTTTTCATGTCCCAATGAGTGTGACCTGCAGGTAATGTAGTGTGGATATCTCGATCCTGATTGGCTGTTGAAACGTGGCATTTGTTTAAGTCAGCAACTGTTCTTTCCATTCTATTTCGAGTAAGCCAAGCCCGTCAAGTGTTAATTTTCTCAAGTGACACATTCTTTTTAAACAAAGATTCTTTCACGTGAATTTCAATTCTTTCTCTATATACTTACAAAGAGACATAACACAAAGACAGGCACGACGCCACATAGAACATAAACAAGCCAATTATGCATCGAAGTTGCCAGGTACACAAAACAAAAATATATCACGGTTACAATAAAATACATAAACAAATAATAAACCTCAGTTAAGTAAAAGAAGTAGACGAGAAAGAACTATATTTCCACTAATTCGATGTGCGATACGGCTCTGTATTAAATTTAAGTTCTAATGAACTTATGTAGAGAAACTTAGCTCAACTTTAATACGCCATGGGTTACGTATGAGTGGTCTTCTTGAAGTGCAAGTACCCGATTCGGGTGTTTTTTAAGACAGCTACTGGGTTTCAGTATTTGGGGGGAACACCATTGAATGTTCATCTACTTAAATTTAGTTCTTCAAAAAATTTGCGACAAATATAATGAACTCTTCTAAATAATATTCTTGATTAATAAAATTCTCTTTATCTATAAGCTGCTTATTTTTTTTAGAAATGGCAGTCGAAATAAATTTTAGATTAGAAGAAAAGTAGCCTAATTTGGAATCTATATAAATTTGATGAAAAAAAAAAGAAGACCACAGAATTTTTAAATGACTATTCAGTACTTGTGTCAAGTATTAGGCCTAATCGACACTTAAATATTTTTAATAAAATTTGCATAGAAGAGTTTTTTTTTCAATAAAAATTTTAACCTAGTGACACACTTATAAATAGTACATATTGCACTTTGCTTATAAGATGTTGCTTTTTCTAAAAAGAGCAGTCAGAATTATGTGATCACTTGACTCATAATGTAATTGATACAATGGAGAATTAAAAACTTAATGCTGAATTTCCAACTCTTTGCAATAAATAATTTGCATTTGTTTCATAATTTAAAATAATACTTTGCTTATGACATTTTGATATTTCTTAAAATAAAAAATCAAAAACAATGGACAGTTAAAAAATATTAAAAAAAATATGTTGCATAAATTTAAATTTTTTAAAATAAATAATTTGTACTGGTGTTTTATTATAAATTGATTTATTTCAATTTGCTTTCGAATCAACAATTTCACTAAAAATGACAATTAAAAATATGTCTCTGCTTTGGTGAGAAATAGGCCTATCAATGATGATACAATGGACAATTAAAATTTTTATTAAAAACAATTAGAATACAATTAACGATTCGGAACATTTAATTTTTTGGAATTAATATTTTGCACTTGACATACTCAAAAATACCTTCCGATTTCTAACAAGTTCTTCATTTTTTTAAAAAATGTCAGTCAGAAATATGTGATAGTTCGTATGAGAATTCGCATATTATATAATGATGCTATTGACACTTAAAAAGAAATTTAAGCCAGAAGAACTTTAATTATTTGACGTAGATAGTTTGTTTGTGTGCCATTTTTAAAATGATACATTACACTTTTCTTTTGAAATAAAATCTTGATTGAATGAAGCTTTTTCTCTTGATTTATATATATTTGAATAAAGTTTCTTGACTTTTTCTTTTCCCTCTAGAATTTTCTGCCCTATAGTTGTATGTTATTTTAGTTTTTTTAAATTTTTTTTTAAAAATTTAAGTTTAATTTAAAAATATGCTAATAAATTTTCTTTAAAAAAAAAAACGATTGTAAAGAAGTTAAAAATGTATGTTAAAACGTACTAATGACTTTAGAAGCTTAGCTAAAATAGGTGTCACAAAATGTAACATGCAGTCACTGGATTCTAAAACTACCATTGCCTTTCTTAACTTGCAATAGATTTTTCTTTCTTGTAATAAAAAACTAAACAATTTTTCATATCACATTTATTTTTCCAAATATTACAGCAGAAAAGTAGTCAATATCCTTGAAACAGAATTTCAAAGTTCACAAAAATTGCGTTAAAATCAATAGAAATAACGAAGATCTACATATCTCCATTTATTATTTGTACTTTATTCATAAAAATATATCTCACCAATTTAAAATTTTTTTAAAATATATGAAAAATATACATGGCTGATTTATAAGTCGGTGGAAAAAACTACAGTATTGAATTATAGCAATATAAAATTTAAGTTCTAGTCATATTATTGCTTGCAATAGGTAAAAATATCATTAAGATAATAAATTTTAACAGCTATACAAAATTTTATTTTTAACTAAACAAAAAACATAAATTCTGAGCATCATTATGAGCATAAACAATTCTAAGCATCTGAAAGCTTGAAATTCATTGACATATTTAAATTAAACAGGCAAGTCAAGTTACACAAACTTTTGGGGCAGAACAACCAATATTCAGAAAATTTAGCAAGATCAAAAATATTTCTAATTATCATTTTTATTCGAAAATAAAAATTTATAAAATTCATTGGAATGATAAGTAGCAAAATATTTGGTAATTTAAAAAAAAATTGATAAACAAGAGAACTTCTGCGTGTAATGTGTGAGTACATTTTAAACAATGATGAATGAGTAAATAAATGACATGAACAAAAATGTGAATTCCATCATATACAAATCTATTTTAAAGTGCTGCTAAGTAATGAAAAACTTTAAAATGAATAAGACAATAAGGCAACTTAAATTATTGCCATAGACAAAAAGGAAAAATAATTCCTGTTCACTGAATGCAGCACTGCTTCAAACCATTTTGGGATTTCAGACGGGACTTAGGACGGTATTTTTCCAGAAAAGCAAGTTGTTTAGCATTGATAGCACCCCTTCGTTTCCTGAAAATATTAAAAGCTTTATATTAAACATATTTCAATTAAGTTTTATGCATCTACATCAAAGCTTCTTTTTAATTTAAATATATGTTTAATAAAAGAAAAATATCCGCATAGTGTGCATGCATTTAATAGGCCTGATAAATAAGATTAAAATTACATTTAGTGATTTTTTCATCATATAGAAATTTGACTTCTGCCATTAGAGATGGTTCTTATATTGGTCAATTCCAAATTATAAGAACATTATTTTTCCTTTTAAATTTTATTTAATCTTTAAGAGAAGCCAAAATACTTTTGAAGGATTTCTGTTTATTTGTTTTTTATTCAATGTGATCTGTTACTTAGAAAAATGGTTTTCAGTCAAATCAAATGAAAAGTTCAAACAAAGCCTTAAAATTGCTGACTTACTTATAATGATTTTAAACTCCACAAACAGCCAAAGCACAGACATTTTAGCTCTTTATTTATTATCATTATTTTTGAAGCACTTTTGGACTATAACCATTTAACAAAAATTTTTTTAACACAAAACACTAGTTTTTTATGCAGGCACAACATCTCAAACAGGTCAAAATATTATCAAAAATGATTTGATTCATGGTGATTAATAACAACATTCATTTCATTTGGCATCTGAACTATCACACTTAATGTCAAAATCTGAATTTAAATGCTACTTTTAAGAGCTACTTTTGAATGAAAAATATTATTTAAAATAAGTAAACATCTTATAAAACATAACAAGAAAGTTGTCTTAAATTGAAAATCATAAAGGCATGCATTTGAAATAAAAAATTAATGCACACAAGAGAAAGTATTAAGCTTTAAAGCATAAATTAGTTGAAAAACAGGCATTATAAAATAAATTTGAAGTCACTAATTTTCAGACACTGATATTTTGATGCACTTGTGAAAACGTCAAATAGAACAATGTGAACTGTGTCTTTTTGCATAATTCGAAGCGAAAATCAACATAATAAAGGAAAAATCTCATTTTGAAAAAGGAAAAATAAAGCACTTTTTAAAAAAACCAATGAAAAAAGCTCCTTTAAGGGCTTTTAAAAAACGAAAATCGAAAATAAGCACTTTTCAAAAAAGCTCCGCACCCTGTTCTATATTTCTGCTTTTTAAATGAAAAATCATACTTCTTTTAAGTTACACTAATTAGTTTTAAAGAAACAATGGAAATATAAAAAGATAATTGTTTTCAATTTGTGGTTCGTTAGTCCAATGATGAGTTACAGATTAACACTAATTTTAGTTATCTAAGGTTAAAAAGAAAAAAATCTCAAACCAAAGCAATATTTTTTTTTAAATAAGAAAATTTTTACTTTTTTTATTTTTGTTTACGAGTAGAATAATTATTAGATAGTATTAGATGTTCAAAACAAATCCATCCAAAGATAATCTCTAGTTTTAACAGACATAAATGATTTAACTAAACATTGACACAAATTTTTCTTTTGAGTTTCTCACACATATTTTTTTCGATTTACTCACATACCCACAAGAGCTATGTGAATGCAATATTTCTCGAAAAAAATTAAACATCATATGGAATAACTAATTTAACCAACAATAAATTTAAAAAAAGAAAGAGTAAAACAATTAAAGATGCATTAATTTATATTTATGAAGGAAAAGCAAGGAAGAACAAAAACTTAATAGGCAAAGCATAAGAAAATATAACTTCACTAAAGCAAACTTTTAAAAAGAAGCAGCATACAAAACATAAAAATTACAATCTATAAAAATACATTTTTCTTCTCTCAAGGAAAAAAGAAAAAAACTTACTGCCTTATTAATTCAACAGCATCTTCATATTTCATTCCCAATTCAATCAAGGCAATTGCTACTAGAACAGGTGCCCTATTTATAAAAAAAAAAGGTTTCTTAACAAAATGGAACACACACTGTATGCAATAACTAGACAAGAATGCAAGATTACAACAAGGTAAAACTACAGTTGTAATTTTAACATTTTTACTTCCTTTACATATTAATTTTTTCTGAATTTAGAAGGACACATAAAAAAAAACAATGATTTTTTGCATGAATTTTTGGAAAGTTTAAAAATATGTTAATAGCTATTTTTTTTAATTTTTTAATACTGAGCTAATATTTTGATTTTATACAATAGAGGTACAATAAATTCCAAAAGTTCAAAATTATACTAATTAAAAATTGTGTATTGAATTCAAAATATATTGTATGTTTAAAATTACAACATAATACAAATTGTAAAATTCCACGAAAAAATACATTTTAATGAGATTTTACATTACTTTCCACACTCAACAATGAAAAAATTTCTTTATAAATTATACACATTTTTTATTTAGAAATACATAATGCTTGTTTTAAAACTATTAATTCTTAAATGTCAATATGCATTGCAAAAAATAATAAAAAATAAATTCTTTCACACAAATCAACTTAAAAGAAAATTTCTGACTAAAATATAACTTCAATAATTATAGTAAAAAACCTCAAAAGATGTAATGAAAATTTTAAATTGTAAAAAATTTAAATAAATGTTAAGAACTAAAGTTTAAAATATAAAAGGATCTTTAATTAAGAAAAAAAAAATGAAATCAATCCTGTAATGAAAATCTACAAGTACAAACTTAATAATTTCTTTTGGTGATAACAGCCCTACCTTTCAAAAAAATTATGAACCAAACATAATTTATAACCATTTCACAGGATGCGCAGCCAAATTATTCAACAAAAAATAAGCACTTTTCAAACACTCAAATGATATTTTTAAGACCTTTAAAAAAAATATCATAATTAGGTAAGGTTGGAAAGCTTTTGACAATTGACGGTTTTATTTGGTTTTAACCGTCATGTCAAAAAAAAAAAAGCTTTGGAATTGTTTTTGACAATTGTTAAAATTTTTGAATCATGTAAATCGAATGGCGTTTTCATACGTTACGGACTGACGATGTGCCGAAACAGATTGGGGTTAAATTAATTGTGAAAATGTTGAATAGAACAATGTGAACAGTGTCTTTCTGCATAATTCATAGCAAAAATCAACATGGTAAAGGAAAAACCTCAATTTGGAAAAGCGAAAATTAAGCACTTTTTAAAAACATCCAATGAAAAAAGCACCTTTAGGTCAACATTAATAAAACACTTGTAAAAATTCAGGAAGTATTTAGTTTCTCTTAGAAAGTAATTTTGACAGCATATGGCATAACCAAATGTTTTGCTCAAGTAAAATGATAAAAAATATTAAATGTAAGTAAATCTAAACAAATTGATAATCAAGAGTAAGAATAATGCACAATTACCGTAAAATATTTAGAGGGATACAAAAGAAAGTTAACTTTGATTGTTATTCAGAAAATGAAATTGCAAAATTGAATTCAAATTGCCAATGCTTTAAAAAAAAAAAAGATGAAAAGGCTCAGTTGTCAGTTGGTATGGGTTGTCAATTTCAGGGGTCTGTCTAGGATTTTCTGAAAGGTACCTATTTTGTGAAAAATTAGGCATAATTTGTGAAAAATTAAAAATTGTATTAAAAAATCAATACAAAAACATTGTAAAAATATAGATTTATCGTTTCTTAAGGGACACAAAAGTAAAGTTTTAAGAAAAAGTATTTTGTGAAACTACCGTTTTTCCTAAAGTTGAATTTGTGAAACTACCGCTTTACCTAAAAGTGAATTTGTGAAGGTACCGCTAAACGGTAGTAAATTCGGTCTGGACAGATCCCTGAATTTTGAAATGATATGTTAGAATGATCTATGTTTTTGTCATTTTATTTGCGTAAAATAGTAATACAGTTCACTACGAACACTGAATCCATTGCCACAATCAAAAGTTGAAACAACAAAACTGTTACCTTTTGATACTCTGAGAAAATCTGTAAACTAGATCAGTAGCTTATTGTTACAAAGCATGGCTGAAAAAAAAGGTCCTTACATTTTTTTCCCCTTCATACTTTTATTGATATTTTAGACAGTTTAAGGGCCAAATAAAAAGTTTGGTGCGCCACTTTTGTGTTATAGGTCATAGGTTGTGGATCTCTGGCTTTAATCAACATTTTGTATAAGCAAATGTGGTTTTATGTGTCCCAAAAATTATAAGTTGGATCAATAAGTGAGGCTATTTACCTGCCCAGACCAGCAACACAATGGACAGCAACACAACAGTCTGTTTTTTCTTTAAACCTTTTCCTTAGAAGATCAAACCAATCATTCATGATTTTAACTGGTGGAGGAGATCCATCGTCAAACTGCCAATCCTGCAAGAGACAGTAAAAAAAAATTTCAATATACTTAATACCATCTCGATAATAGCACACACTTTCTTATCTTATATATTTAATAACAAATGCAAATGAGACACATACTAGCTGTCCCAAATATGATTGATTATTTTAAATACATATAAAAGACAGAAAAAGATAAAATTTGTACAGTTTACTGTGTTTGTTGGAAACAAGATTTCATTATTAAAAAGTTTCAAAATTTGTTACCAAGTTTGTCAATAGATGGTGCTGCTATGAATAACTATAAAATTTTGTTTGGTGGCAAATGTTATAAAATTTTACCTATAATGCTATATTTCTCCTTTCCTTTTTCTTTAAATGATTTCTTTCATACATTGTCGTGTTTATTTACACGATACATTATCATGTTCTAAATAATAGTGGCAGAGATACACAGGTTATCCCAACAAGAGAAGAAAATTTTAATATTGTTCAAACACAATTTTTTTCCTTAAGAAAACTTTAAAAAAAAAATTTTGTTTTGTTTATTTGTATTTTTAATTAGTTGTAAAATATTGGTTGGAGGTAATTTTTTTCTAAGAAAGTAATTATTTAAATTAGAGACATGTCTTTATTTACTGATACTGTCGCTTTAGCATTTAAAAATAACTTTGTTAATAAGATTCTTTAATGAAAATAAAAATAATAAAAACTAATAATAATGCAATTATTAATTATACAATTTTATAGGTGTAAAGATTATTTTTAAAATAAAGAATAACAAAGCAATTAGCAATTTTCAACATAAACAAGTAAAAACAGATAAAAATTAATAAAATAAAACTTTACACAATTTTTAATGGTGAACAAAAGATATTACTTGCATTGAAATGCAAGTTTATCTTTGTATTGAAATAAAACTGACAGATGGTAAAAACTAGGTACAGTTGATTCTAAAATCATGAACAACAGAAAAACTTATGTTTCCATCCCTTCTTTTACATAAAATAATAAATAAAAATGAATAAATAACTGATTTTAAAAACTTACCAATACTTTTATTCCATGCATCTCCAAAGCTTCTTTTTGATAAGTGGGTTCACATACTCTTACAACTTCTGTTACATTTTTGCTTTTAAGCTCCTAATAAAAAGGAATAACTTACGTATAGTTAATCTTGTTAAAAGTTCATAAATAATAAAAGAATTTCTTTTAATACTAGTAATATGGATTTTAAATCACTTCAAATGTATGCATTATAAATTATTAGCATTTATTTTACATTTTAGTAATGATTATATATAGTAATTAAAAACATAGCTTTTTGGACCTAATTACTTTAATGTGCTTTTAGGGATATTTCAGAAATTTTGGATAAATATTGTAGCATTGTTAATAATAATGGCACCTTATTATTTTAAATAATCAAGAGCTGAGTTACTACTGATTCAGAGCTACGAAAAACAGCTAATACTAAAATTTATAAATAAAAGTAAATTTTTCATATAAGAAATTAATTAAAAAGTTACTAATACTAACAGTAGCACAAAAGGAAAGAGTTCTGTACAAACATAGATTTCTATTATGTAAATTGGAGAATTTGTTTACATATTTTTATTTTAAACACTTGGGCTAATATTAACTGCATTCCGTTGCAATTTTAAGTTTAAACATAAAAACATGTTTAGGTTTTTCCAGTTATATTATCTTTTAAAAAGCAGGTTATTTGAAGGTTGTAAAAATTCCTAGTTGGGAAAAAAAAAGATTTTGATTTTTTAACAATATGTCAAAAATATTTAAGCAATTGAAATTAACTAAACTATTTCAAAGTATTTAATTATTAATTAATATTTTCAATAACAATTAAAAAAGAACCACTTTTGTTCTTTAAGTATGCTAATATAATTATAGACTAAGAAAAATAACTGAATGTTTTAAATATGCTGTAATATTACTTTTCAACTTCACTTAAAATGCAAATAAATATGTAACATATATTCATGAATATATATATTCATATAATCATTAACATATATTATTTTCATAATCTATGTTAATGATAAATTTCTCCCCTTGCTTGTCTGTACAATAAAAATGCTGTACTTCAGTATTATCTATTTAATATCTTGTTTAGCTGTATACAATTTATAATATTAGTATAAATTAAGTTTTATAAAATATGCATTTGTTTTTAATCCATTGAATCAATACAAATTTTAATATATTCAAGGCAATATATAGTATATATTTTATATTAAAGATAATTAGTAAAAAAAAAAAAACTAACAAAATAATGGAATGATGAAAAGGAAAAATGGGTTGCAATACTAAATTTCAGTAAAAGTACAGTATGAAGTTTCAGTACTATTGTTTAAATAAGAATAATAGAGAGTAAAATATCTCCCCCCCCCCTTTATTTTAACATAATAATGCTTAAGTTTAATAATATTAGAGTTTGCAGTTCTTCTGAAACTTCTGATTTTCTGGATAAAAAATATTGTATCATTATTTGTTCTGTATTTTTAGCTTTTTATCCCAATATTTCTGATTTCTGTGCATACAGAATAACCTATTTCCTAGGATTACTAATGTAGTTTTCAAAATAATTGGTTTGAATAATCGAAAAATTTAAATTTTTGATCCAATGTTTCTTACTTGAATTAATAGTTCACCCAGAAAATTATTTTTGAACACAAATGCTAAAACATATATATATTCACTGTGAAATTTTGGTAACACCTGTAATCTTGGTGCCTTTATTTATTTATTATTATTTTTTTTTTTTTTCATTTAATNATTATTTTTTGTAGAAATGATATTTGAAGTAAAATTGATCAGACTGTTATTTAATTATAGCTGCTAACATAGATAAGGAAAAATCCTGGAGTTTTACGAAATAATATAAATTTCTTGATACTTGTTACAAAAAGTACGAAATATTTTACACATAGGGAATTTTATGGATTTTTAGTTATCAAAATAAAAAACTGAAATATTTTCCAACTATGATTAACATTAAATGAACTTGAAACGTTATGTATTATGTTTACTCTTAATTTTAATGAGTAATAGGTATTTAATTCATCAAAGATAGTTAACTGATTTTTATAAATAAGGCTCGTTTCTTTATGCATTAGTAAAACTTGTTTAAATATTAAAGCAAGCAATAATCTGCTCAAAAATTAAATTTCAATAGAGATTTTAAGGGAATTTTCTTAATTGTAGGGAATTTTATAAAATGTACAAAAACCAGGAGAATATTTATTAAACCAGTTGACCAGGAGAAACTGGCAAAATCCAGTAGGCTACTGCAAAATCCAGTACCTAGAGTTGGCAGCTATGTTTAATGAATCAAATTAAAGAGAAAATACACATGAATTTCAACTAATACCACAGATAATGTGAATTTATAATATAACAAATTTAATGATTTCAGCATAAAAGGTTTTAAAAAAATACTTCTAAAAGGAAAGGAAAATTTGAGAGAAGCACTTAAAACATTTACACAAGCTGCAAAAACTTACTGTCATCGCTTAGGAGTTGGTTAAATATTATAATAAGGTTTTAATTAAAAATGAGCCTTAAATTCATTCATTACCTCTATAAATGCATTGATGGTAGCATCCGTTGGCCTGTCCATTATCAAAAACCTCATGTTCTTGTAAACAATTTCGGATGGGCCGGGTCTCATCAACTTATGCTTCATAGTCATGCCTTGGTGGAGAATGCCCCAGTTAAATGAAAATAAGTTTTTCTTAGTGGATGATTTCAAAATAAAGATAATCTGATGTGCTTCACAAACTGAAATGATGCAGCAATATCTGCTTCTTAAGTAATCTTCGCGCAAAAAAATAAATTCTCACAAATAAATCCAACAATACACTTTATTTGTGTTGTGCTGGGCAGAATTCACCTCTGTGGATGACCAAGAACTCCATTAAGTATGAGAAGACAACAGATGAGATCTAAAAAATCAAAAACATACAATTATAAGAAACAGAAATTTATAACACAAAATTTATATTTCTGAAATATTAAAAATCTTCAACTCAATAATTTTAATTTTCCAAGGGTCTTCAACATGTTATCAGACAAGATGAAGGATTTACATTATCTATTAAAGAGCTAAATTATTTGAATATCCTATTTTGCCTTTGAGTATTATTTTAAGTAGTGTTAAATCAGGACTTTTAGAGCCTTGTGTTCATTCTGTTTTGATAATCTATTTCAGGAAAAAAAAATGAAATGTTTTTTCTTTTTCTAAGGGGATTACCCTGCAGTTGCTGTTCTTATATTTCTAATCTTGTTAAGTGAACTATAAAAAGGGAGGTAAAAATAATTCTTAATATTATGCAAACGATAGACAATGAAATAATTTGAACTTATTTATGAAGAAATTTTTTTATGGGCAAAATATCATTTTTAATAGAAAGAAAACTGGCTTAAAAATAAATTTATAACACAGTTATATATATTATCTCTTAAATTTTAATAGACGATGAAATAATTTGAACTTATTTATGAAGAAATTTTGTTGTGGGCAAAATATCATTTTTAATAGAAAGAAAACTGGGTTATAAATAATATATTATCTCTTAAATTTTAATACTAGAAGCAAAATTAATAACAACATTTAACAATTATGAGTTCTCAAACATAGCTATCTAAAGCTTTCACAAAGGAAAAAAAAAAAAAAAAACGCAGTGAAAGAAAAGGTATATGCTTTCTAAGGGATTTAAACAGGAAAATATAACATAGTATCTTTATTACAAGCAATAAATTATTGACATTTACATTTAATGTTCGAATTAATCAAAGATATCTGCAACTTTTTCATTCGCTTTGAAAAATATTTTGTACGTAGAATTATAGATAGGTATTTGCAAACATTTATATTATTATTAACATATAATCAATAAAAAAGCATAAACCCTTTAGAACTTTAAATAAAATATTCGAACATGTTTATATGGTAAAAAACTAGGAATATATCAAGGCTATAGGATCTTTATCTTCGGGTTAAGTTTTTAATTCCATTAGTCTGAGGCTGAAACGAAATAAAAAATTTTACTACGAAGATGCATCGATATTATTTTGTTACCGGAGGGGAATTTATTTTAGAAAATTGTAGAAAATATAAAGAAAAATGTTCTTTTCTAGCAATAGTTCAAAGATTCATAGAGGCATCAAAAGCATCAATAGTTAAATTTTATCATCTCGCAATAATTTCGACGATAAAAATCGCAGTAGCAATAAATTTAATAATCAAACTGCCTGGAGACATCATTTTAAAGACAGTCGAAAATTCCTCTGAATCAGCCGGAAATCAACAAGTGTATTAATTGCTTTACTATTACACCTTATTAAACGATTGTAAAAAACAATCGATTGCTGATATTTTCATCCTGCAACAATTTCGAAGATAAAAATCGCAGTAGTAATAAATTTAAAAATCCAACAGTCTGGAGACATCGTTTTGAAAACAGATGAAAATTCCTCTGAATCAGCCGGAAATCAACACGCGTAATAATTGCTTTACTATAACACCTTATTAAACGATCGTAAAAAGCANTCCAACAATAGATCGAAGATTCATAGAGGCATCAAAAACATCGATAGTTAAATTTTATCATCTCGAAACAAATTTGACGTTAAAAATCGCAGTAGAAATAAATTTAAAAATGAAACTGACTGGAGACATCGTTTTAAAGACAGTCGAAAATTCCTCTGAATCAGCCGGAAATCAACAAGTGTATTAACTGCTTTACTATTACACCTTATTAAACGATCGTAAAAAGCAATCGATTGCTGATATTTTCATCTTGTAATAATTTTGCGGGAAAAATCTTAGTAGTGATAAATTTAAAAATCCAGCAGACTGGAAGACATCGTTTTGAAAACAGACGAAAATTCTTCTGAATCAGCCGGAAATCAACAAGTGTATTAATTGCTTTACTATTACACCTTATTAAACGATTGTAAAAAACAATCGATTGCTGATATTTTCATCCTGCAACAATTTCGAAGATAAAAATCGCAGTAGTAATAAATTTAAAAATCCAACAGTCTGGAGACATCGTTTTGAAAACAGATGAAAATTCCTCTGAATCAGCCGGAAATCAACACGCGTAATAATTGCTTTACTATAACACCTTATTAAACGATCGTAAAAAGCAATCAATTGACGCACCCCCTGATATTTGTCAGTACTATTTAAGACGAAAAAATGCTGATTCTAAAAGAGTATGGGCGAATCATGTATGGGTTCAGCTAAAAATTTTCCTTCAACTGTTGAAAAAAAATTAAAATATTGAAGAGCAAGATATAAAGACAAAGTAAAATGTAGCGCACAAACCTCACCGCAACTGTAGGAATACGTATTAAATTTCCATTTTTTCAAATCGCATTCCCATGCATGGAGCTTCAAGCGATTAAAAAACTCTAGGAAAAAAGCAGCAAGACAAAAAAAAATCCAACAAATTTAGAATAATTGTTTTATAAAAAAATAAGAATAGGATGCGATAAATGCTGGATGTTGTTACTTAAGTTATATCTGTCATAATCTATTAGAGAAAAGAGCTTACACTTTCACAAAAGCAAATTAGCGTTTAATAAATGCAACAGAAGTGCGCCGTAGTGGGTTTGCATTCCCAAAATGTGGATGTTTGGCAGAGAGCCCTTGGCAATTCTGAATGCCAAGGACGGAAGCAAGCTAACACAGGAAGCCTTTCTAACCTATTCAACATTCCTAGTAAACAAGTTTCTCATATCATACCTTTATCAGTTACATAGGAAAGACGCACCAACAAGCGCAGATGCACTGATAAAAATTGTCTCAGAACAGTAAAGGGCGCCAATACCGTAACATTCGAAAACAAACATAAATAGTTTAAATACGAGAAACCAACTAACTACTTCTATTTTATATTTATAATGTTAAAAAAATACTCAAATGATGCTTCTTTGTCGATTATTAAATAAAAGTTTACTTTTATTACCTCTTCACTTTCAACATCTTGTTTTCTTTCCTTATTACTACTAAAGAATTAATATTACATAAATAGTAAAATCTAAGCTAAAAAGAAAATTTACTTCTCGCGAACCTCTTATCTTAAATTTGTGTTCAATCATCCAATACAACCATTTAAACAAGTCTCTATTATGCAAAGGTAAAGCTTCCACATTATTATCAAAAGTAAGCTGTTAAGATTACATTTGACCCTGAAGCAATTTCCAGTTGTTCTATTCAGACAAATCTAACTCCTATTTTAAATTCAAACTTCTTTGTAAACATGGCAGGATGAACACAAATAGGATCACACAAAAAAAAAAAAAAAAAANAAAAAAAAAAAAATCCCACCACACAAAATGATTTTAATTATTATTATTATTTTATTTATATATATACATAATATACTTAGCGACAATTATTTAAGTTTGATTCTGAAGCTATTCCGATAATTAACGTCTGATATTTAGAAAGAAAAAAAAAATCTTTTTATACAATACGAGCTGAACACCCGTTCTTCGTAAGAAAAGAAGAAAAAAATCAAAATCGGTATTGAACAACGATACAATATCATGCACAATACTAAAAACAAATACCGACACAATAAAAAAAAAAGTTATTTCAATGACTTCTTGATTTATTATTACTAGAGCCCGGATTTTGATGACCTAAAAAATCTCAATTAATGCCCTTAAAAAGTGCAAAAAATGCCCTTACAAACTGCAAAAAATGCCCTAAAAAATGCAAAAAATGCCCTTAAAAGTGCAAAAAATGCCCTTAAAATGCGAAAATTGCGCTAAAAATGCCTTATGACATGACTTAAATAGAAGTAAAAAAATTGAACTAAAACAATGTTTTACTCTTTAACATTATTATGAGTCGTTTCATTAAAGTTTGACAAATATGTTTTATATCCAAAAATAACAAAAAAAAGGAAAATATATTGTCTCCAAAACATTTTTATTTTGTATAGAAACTTAAATGAATATAACAACTTCCATCTCATAATATTACTAAATATCAGAATTACAGTGGATTATNTTTTAATTATTATTATTATTTTATTTATATATATACATAATATACTTAGCGACAATTATTTAAGTTTGATTCTGAAGCTATTCCGATGCTGCTCTGAAAATTAACGTCTGATATTTAGAAGGAAAAAAAAAAATCTTTTTATACAATACGAGCTGAACACACGTTCTTCGTAACAAAAGAAAAAAAAAATCAAAATAGGTATTGAACAACGATACAATATCATGCACAATACTAAAAAACAAATACCGACACAATAAAAAAAAAGTCATTTCAATGACTTCTTGATTTATTATTACTCATTGCCCTTCCTTTGAGCCCCGTGACTTTACGGTAATAGACACAGAAAAACAAGTTCAAGGCCCATCCCATCAAAAATGCCATCCCATCATCGTGGTCAACTCCTAATATTTTAAATTTACCAAAATCAAGCAATTTTTTCCTCAATTTATACCTATTACGTAAGGAACTTATTTCCACAGTATCTATAAAAAAAATTGCGCAGTATAGGTGCAGTTTAAATAGGCGCCAAATTTGCTCATAAAATACTTTGAACCAACACTATATACCAGTCAATTACTATAATACCAGTAATGTTTATATTACCAAGAATAATTAAGTATCATTGACGCCAACAATAGTTTTATACGTTTCTCCTAAACAAATAATTACCGTTTCTCTATCAAATAGCACTCACTAAAGTATTTATTTGAGCATCATAGGTGTCAAAAGTGGTATGACGGTTTTCCATTTTTCTCCTAAATTAATTAATACCATTGCTTCAATATTAATTTTATTTTAGAGTGCAAAGCTTATTTTTAATTACAATTAGTGCCTATTACCAAAATTAATTTAACATCATTGGCATCAAAAATGTTACGGCGATCTTAAACTTTTATCTTCTCTTAAACGAATTCGTACCATTTCTTATTTTTTAGTACAAAGTTTTTTTTTTTATAAATAGTTAGTAATGGGTCGGATAGCCTGGTTGGCAGGACACTGAGCTCATGTCCAAGGTAGGCTCGATCCCCGGCGACCGAAGACTCACCGTGTAGTAATTGGTGACTGGTGCACGTTAAACTTGTCGAGTCACAAAGTCCTCCATGTTCCCATAACAAAACATACCTCTGGGGGTACTGATCCAGGAGTTTCCTTATCTTCCGGATTGGTTCAAAATTACAAGGCTACGGAGCTGGATATTAGTAGTCGTAAACCCAAAATCTGGGTCGGCTGTTCAACGACGGTTATAAAATAAAATTGTTAGTAATGAGCCGTGATGGCTCAGGGGATAGAGCGCTAGCGTTTCAATGATGTGAATCGGTTTCGAATCCCAGCGAAGGCTGGTCGATACGAATTCCGCAATAGGCACGCATCGACCACAGTGTTGACGTAAAAATGTCCTTAGTGGTAGACGGATCATGGGTTGGAGTCCCCTTGTACACAGGCTAACCATGGGAGGTTTTCATAGATTTCCCCTCCGTGTAACGCAAATGCGGACTAGTTCCATCAAGACCTCCACGAAGGCACAATTTCTCCCAATACTCGATCCTAGAGTTCCCTTGTCTTCTGGATTCGGTTCAAAATTACACGGCTACGGAGTTCAGTAGTAGTCGTATATCAAAAAAATTGTGTCGGCTGTTCAACGACTGTTATAAAATAAAATAGTTAGTAATAATAGTTTAGCGATTTTCTACGCCTCTCTTAAATGGATTAGTACATTTCTACATTAAATTGGTTTTCAGAGCAATATCTTACTTTTTATTTCATCCAGTATCTATTAACAAAATTAATAATTTGAGTCAAAAATGGTTTGGCGAAATTTTACCGTGATAAACGAATTAGTGCCATTTCTCCATTAATTTTTTACCCTTTAAGACATAGCTTTTTTTTTTAATTTCAAGTATTTCGTATTTTCAATATTAATCATGCATCAATTTCGTCAGTAATTATATGGTTAATTCTTACGCTTCTCTTAAACGAATTAGTGTTCCTTCTCCATTAATTTTGCTTTTCAGTATGTATAGTAAACTCAATTATCGTTGATTTTAAATTTATAGTTTTAAAAAAACAGGTTTTAAAAGCATAAATATAAACAAAATTAGCACGTGGATAGCTTCAGAAGTACTAATTTAGTAACGTATTTTGCTTATGCTAGTATGTTTATGTAGATATCATTAAGTTTATCTGACATAATGGATAAAAAATAAATAACTAAAAAAGTACAATTAATTTCTTTTTTGCTTAATCAGAGCCATAATCTAGCAGACATCGCCGATGTTATCTTTAAAATCGTCTACAGTTTTAGTTATATCAATAGCGATAGCTCTAAGCCAATGAGTTAATTCTATTTTTCAAATGTTTCTCCTGAACGATATAATTAAAAATATTGAGTGTTTTTTTAGGATCGAGGGATGGAATTGTCCCTTGTAACCACGGTCCAAATTTCAGGACAATAGAATAGACGGTTCTGGAGTTATCTGAGGGACGAACAAACACACACTCTTCATTTTCGTCATCATCATCATAGTTGGCCAGACAGCCCAGTGTGGGCCAATGCCTTCCTCTAAAGATTTCTCCATAACGACTTTCGATTTATCTTAGATCTCCAATTTTTTTTCATTAATTGCAAGAAAATCAGATTCCACCAAATCAGCCCACCTCAACTGCGGCCCTCCCCGCTTTCTTGTTCCAGTGGGTCTAAAAAGCAATTGTCTGCATTATTGCATTGTCTTTACTCATTCGAATCATGTGGGCTATCCAATTCTTTCTATTTATTTTTATGTATTTACAGGGATGAGAGTAGTCAGAAAGTAAAAAAGAGGAAATCCAAGAATACATATATAAACAAAAATTTGACAAAAAAGAGCGATTTTTAAACTTGTAAACCATGTGATTATAAATCCCGATATGAGGCTTTTAAATCACNTTATTTTTATGTATTTAATAATATCAGGTTGTTTATAAATCTTGTACAAAGTTAAATCTCCTTCTTCAGTTAATGTTTTCATTTACACCACCAAGAATACTCCGTAAAATCTTTCTCTCAAATATTATGAAACAATTTTCTTCCTGTGTCATTGTCCAAGCTTCAGAAGCATATGTCAAGACCGGCATGAGAAGAGTTTTGTAAATTAAGAGCTTTGTTTTTCTAGAAAGAAATCTAGATTCAATAAATCTTCTCAGCCCATAGACACAGCCCTATTTGCCAGATAGAGTCTGTTTTTTTTTTTTGTTGTTTTTTTTCTTTTCTTCCAGGAGACATTCTGTAATCAATAGTAATAATTGATCCAAAGTAAGTAAAACTCCATACTGTTTCAAATCTATAAGAATCCATTTCAAGATAGGGGTCTGGGACTCGGTTTTTTGAGAACAACAAGTATTTTGTTTTCCCTACATTCATGACTAAGCTTAATTTTATTATTACAGATTTCAAGTATTATTTATAAAAAAATTTTTTTTTACAAATTTCGGAACAGTTTTCAAAATATAGAGGAAATGGAACATATCGTCTTCTTAATCTACTCAGCATTCAAACATTTTTTTTTTTTGCACCAAAAATATACATTTTATTAAATTTGGATGGAATGGCAGTTTATGATATTTTTAATTTGAGCTTCGATTTTTATTTCGAACAATATTCTTGGAACATATCATAATTTCCAGTTCATTCTAAATTATTAAGCTTCAAACAAATATTTGAAGAGAAAATGAGAAGGAAAAAAAAATGTCATTTTCCGTATAATAACCAGAGCCAAAAAAAGTATTTTATTCCAAAAATAACTGTCACTTTCAAAAAGCCCTTGAAAAAACACATGTCGAGTTAGGTTGTATCATAAACACTGTTTATTAATATTTTGTCAGCTGTTTAAACTAATTGTAACGAAATTAAACGGTTATCAGCATTATTGTGTTGTTAAATGAATACAATATGCAAAGCATAATATATAACAGAACAGGCAAAATGTGCCAAGTAAAATCGACATAATATTGCGTGCATGTATTTCATAGCTTTCTTTTACAATGATCATAATAAAATTTTTATTTTATCCCTTTTGTACTAGTGCGCCAAATCTGTAACCACTATATGTCACCATTACCATGATACCCTAAAAATAGAGACGGCATATTATTAGAAGCACTTAAAATAACGCTTATGCACTTTTATAACGGATGGAACGATAGAAAAAGCTAAAAATAAAGAAAAAGGCTTCGGTTTTAACGCTTAAGATCATTTTAAATGGTTAAAATAGACATATGGGCGGCAGTTTGGAACTTAAAGCTATTTATAATACAAACATTAGCGTTATCGATTATTATAGAATTAGCGTTATCGATTATTATAGAAGTCCCCGCTTCCTTAACATTTCATTTCGCAAAATATTTTATTCTGTAATTGTTTGAAAGGAAATCGCATGCCACTAAGAGATGAGATATAGTAAACAATAACCATTCGAATGAGTAGAAATCATACGAGAAAAATCGTTTCATTAAATATAATTGTATTAGGCATAAATGGCTAACTAAAATAAATATATATTTTTTAACTTAATACAATTGTTCAAACATTTAAATTCAATTTAACAAAATCTTCAACTCACCAAACAATAACCTCATCTTGTTAAGATGAATTATCCAATAAGAAAAACTAAAATTTTGTAACAGAAAAAATCCAAGAATATCACATAAGAAACGTACCTCACTAAGTCTTTAAAATAAAACCTTAATTTTAAAAGCCACTCATATCCACAGGTGACTTTGGAATATTAAAATTCATAAATGCAAGAAGCACTCACAAATCATCCCGTCAAAATAACCGGAGGCTTTAAACTCAGTATAAATCCACTACTGCAGTGAGAACAATTAAAAAAAATTTATGATTACATAAACACTCGGCAATATTTCCTCTTGAATAAGCAAGCGACCACAGAACGCAACAAATAACTCAAAAAAATGAAAACAAGTTAACACAAATTATGCAAGCAGGTCCAAAGACAAGATCGTAAAATGAGGCAACAACAAACAGAGGGACACTCGCAACTTAATTACGGTAAAGAGTTTGCGTCCTCAAGGTTACAAATATTGGAAAGACATAAACATTGGTGGGCGACTGCCAAGTTCGACGCGCATCTTCAAGTTTAAAGTTACGTAACAGCCAGGATGCTATCTTTAAAAAAATGCCGCCTTTTTCTTTTCCCTTTAATGTTCCGTCTTCAAACAATGTATTACGAAACGGAACGTGGTTGAAAGAACTCGATAATTGATCAAGATGTTCCACTTCCCAGAAAATGCGTGATTAGAAGACATGCCTGGGCCTCTTAATAATCAGATTAAAGTGATGCCCTTTAGCAGAGTTTTTTAGAAGATAGTTGGAAGTGATTTAGTAAAACAGGTATTGCTAAAAATATCTTACATGGTGTCAATGTCGAGTTTACGAAATAACACAGAGTATTACAATCTGAAGAAAAAAAATTTTTTTTTACAAGAATAAATATAACTACAGTATACTCTCGAAAACTCGAACTTCGATAACTCGAAAACCTTGTTATATCAACAAATTATTTTTCCACTTGGCACTATATATATCCACCTAATGTTAATTTGAATTCCTATATCGCAGGGTTTTTTCTCAAAACCTTGCTATATCAAATTTTTTTCTAAATAGAAAATTTATTTTTTCGGAAAAACCACCATGTAAGTTCATTGGCAAGCACAATTCTTTTCTATTTAATGCATAATGTTCCAGTCTTACTTTTAAAAATAAAATTATCATTCTTGTATTTAGACTTACAGTCAACTATCATTATATGCATATTTGACAGTAGTTATTCTTGTGTTTCATGGCTCTACTTTTTAAAGTAATATTTTAGAATATATTTTTTTTACTTTTTAGAACATATTTTGTTCTGAACTTGTCATCTCGAAATTTATTTAGTTCCCTTTAACTTTGAGCTATCGAAAGTATACTGTATTCAAAAATATTATTATTGCATATAATATAATTAATTAGTATTAAATTTTACAGAATACATAAATCCAATAATAACTAACACTGCCACTTTTCTTAATTCCAATTTCAGCGAACTCTGCAAATCTGGTCATATAAGAGGTCACTCAAGGAGAAATTTGGGTTTCTAAACGGATCTACAGAAAAAAAATGCAGGTAAATTGGACTCTGCACAAAATATTTTACCGCAAAAAAGGAACACGAAAATTATTTTATCTAAAAAACGAAATCTTCCCTTTAAAACAAAACCCTTCAAACCCTTAACGTTTCCTACCATAATAAGTAAACGAAAAAAAAAAAAATTATTTTTTTGCAAAAAGGTGTCGATGAAATTAATATTATTTGTCAACTAATTCATCACTGTAATTGGCAAAAAAGAAGAAAAAAAATCATGTTGGAAAATATACAGAATATAAGTATTTTTGATGCTTAGTTTAAAAATATGAATAATACTGGAATTAGTAAAGGGGTTACAAAAATACAGTGAAACTTGTAGGGAGTGACCCATCTCCGATCCACAGTAAAATGGTCGTTAATGAAGGTGGGTCGTTCTTAGATGTTACCTACAATGACTTCAAAATTGTTATCCAAGGTACAAGATTTTCAGCAAACGATTTTATTTTTAGTCAGTGTCATTTTCTTGGACTTCTGTTGGAGTCATGAAAAGATAGATCTATGAATTAAATTAAGCGTCTATAAAAATGATCCCTACTGAACTTTTTTTATTAATTTAACTTTCAGCTCTAAAAGTAAATCGTTGATAGCATCGTCTTTAGTGCACCCTAACTACAACATGAGGTTGCATCGTTAAAAAAAAATTTAAATAAGAATCTTAAACAAATATTTAAAATATATTTTAATCTACTTATTTGCTTTGTTAAAATTTTTGGTTTTGATATTTTTTGTGTTTCCTTATTTGATCTTTTCGGCATTTGGTGCAAATGTTTGCCCGGTCTCTGGGAAAGATTTTTATGGTCTCTCCTTAAAGGTTTTCTTCAATACAAGGTCTATAGAAAAAATTCCGTGCCTCCCAAAAGTGGTCCTAAATAGAGATGGTCGCTACATAAAATATCAACATAAATTACTTTTAAAAACTTAAATCGAAAATAAGCACCATTAAGTACTTTTTTAAAAACGCTACGCATCCTGGCGGTTCAAATTTTATTTAAGTACAGGGGTCTGTCCAGACATTTTGTGAAAGGTCCGGTTTTCGGGAAATTGTGAAAAAATTACTTACATTCTTTCAACCAGGGTCCGCTTTTATGAATTTGTGCAAATAGGGACCGGTTATAGCAAAAAACTTTTTCAAGCAGTTTTTAAATTGTAAATAGATACAAGATTATGCTCGGCACTGTAAAATTAATAATTAAAAAAAATTAAATTTTCAAAAATAAACAGCAAATGCTGCTTCTAAATTAGAGTTGCAACAGACAAATATTTGGTATTCAGCCTGAATGCAGAATATTTGCTGAATGCAGAATATTCATTTCTGACGAATAATGGAAGAATCGTCTGCCGAAGACATAACTTAAATCGTTTACATCCATCTTTCATATTTTCTGCCCTGGGAAGGGTTTATTCAATTAACAATAATGAAGATGAACAAATTTGTGAAGGGTCCGATTAAAAGAAAAACCATTTTGTGGAAGGTCCGTTTTTAAGTTAAAACATTTTGTCACGGGTGCGTTTTTATGAGAAGATATTTTGTGAAGGGTCCGTTAACGGACCCAAATTTCTTCTGATCAGACCCCTGGTAGGTCATTAAAATCAATTTCTCTTATTTTCGGAGTTTCTTGGAAAGCAAAATGAAAACGTAACAAAAAAATTACATATGGACAAATTTCAAATAGGCATGAAAGTTGAAATCGGGGAGAGAAAATCTTTTCTCATATGAAATGAAAACCAAACGCATATTTCTTATGATAGATAAATAGTGGAAAGGTCAATAAGATGTTGAAAAAGAAAATAAATAAATAAAAAGATAAGATAGGAAATACAAATAACGGGAGGCAATCGATTAAAAACAAACTCACCATAATATTAGTTTTGAGAAAAATAACAAGACCTACCGATATTAAAGTCATCGAAAAAGAATTTTCAATTGGTAAAATTGGGCTCTTTACAAGGTAGCTGGAACACTATCTAATCTCAAAAATGGTATATAACCTCCACCATCACTTAATAGAAAAGTGTTGATTAAAGATAAAACACATGTTGACGGAACAATTGTAACTAAGAAATTTGTCTGATAATAAAAGGACAGATTTATAAAGATCATATTTTATTAAAAGTCACGTCCTTATGATTTCACCTGCCGTAGAAAATAACAATTTTGTTAATTTCCAAGTCGACGAAAAATATCAGCCATATTTCGTAATGGTTTCTAGAACAGACTGGAAAGGATTTGTAGAAAATTTACAAAAGGTCAAAAGATACACCTGATTCTGTCCACTAACTCAACTCCGGAAATTATGAAACAGTATTTTTAAATAACGCAAACAAGCGACATCTAATTAATAAACTCAGCCCCTATCTGCACGTAAATACATTATTTTTCCACCAGTTAAATAAATACACTTTTTCTACTTAACATGAGTATAAAACTGAAAATTTAGCAAGATTTTACAGCACAGAATAATGTGCGCATAGGGATTTTTTTTTAAAGGAACAATTTAATTGCTAATTATCTAAATTATTAAGCACCAGCAATGTAAAAGTTAAAATAACTAATCTTAAATTTGTAACTAAATTTTTGCAGACGACAATTTTAGTAACGAAATCAGACACACAAAGCTTGGTTTCTAAGAATAAACCTCTTTTTCTTTTTTTCCCAACAGATTCGGACTTTTTTAAAATAATCGCCTTGTTATTTCGAACCTAATTCACAAGACAAGGAAACTCCTGGATTAAGTGTAACGAAAGACTTTTTCATGGAATTTTATTTTATTTTATAACCGTCGTTGAACAGCCGACCCAATTTCATGGGTTTACGACTACTTACGTTCAACTCCGTAGCCTTGTAATTTTGAACCAATCCAGAAGACAAGGAAACTCCTGGATCAGTACCCCCAGAGGTATTGATTTGTTGTGGGAACATGGAGGACTTTGAGACTCGACAGATTTAACGTGCATCAGTCACCATTTACTACACGGGGAGTCTTCGGCCGGCGAGGATCGAACCCACGACCTCTTGGATATGGGCCCAGCGCCCTACCGACCAGGCTATCCCGGCCCAAACAGTTTCATGGAATTTAACCGCATTTGCGTTACATGAAGAAAAAAATCACGAAAACCTTCCACGGTTAGGCTGACGGCAAGGGGACTCTAAACCATGATCCGCCTACCACTGAGGATATTTTACGTCACCACTGTGGTTGGTGCGAGCCAGGTGCAGAATTCGAATCAATCAGCCATCGAACCGGGTCAACTCATCGGAAGGAGAACGCTCTATCTCCTGAGCCACCACAGCTAGGGTGATAGAGCGTAAACAATTAGTCAGTGTTAAACAATTTAAGATATGGAGGGGAAAAAAAATTAGACCATATTTTACATTATCTCTTTCTTTTGAGTCTGGTTTTCTACTTTAAAATGTTACCAGCTCAAATTAATTAGTTTACCTAAGGCTGAACATTGAGCTCCGGTTTTTCTTTGTGTAGTGTACACTTATTTGCATATAGCGATTCCACTATGGGTATGAAATATTAGAATTTTAATTGTTCAAAAAATACAAAAAGTCAATTCGAAAGTGATTGCATTTGCTTCTTAGAAGAAAAAAAACAGCACTGAACAGAGCAGGCGAAAACACATTTGTTTAAAAGAAAAAAAAAGTCTTTTTTTTTTTACATTGATCAATCAATACCATCATAAAACGCATTGATAATGCTTAATTTTTATCTGAAAACAGTATTCAAACTAAAATGTTTAATATTTCGAACTAAAATAGTTGAAATTAATATTTTATTGCAACAAACTAATCACTGAATGAACATAGTTATTTTAATCCAAGCTCAACAGCCTCATGAATTTATAAAGACAAAGGCCCGATTTGTCAGTTGTATTTCAAATGGAGAATAAATTAA